TTTAAGGTACTAAAAATTAAAGCAATCAATAAACTGGTTAAGACAATGGTCAAGAGTTTGTAGTTCAACCCAATCATAATTAAAATAATACATTTTAATTAAATTAAAATATATAAAAATATTCTAATAAACCTTGCAAAAGGGAAAAATTTAAATGAAAAGGCATTAATATACAAGTAAATAAAAGGTGTGTGTATAAATAAAATAAAATCCAATAAAAAATTACTAAGTCCAAATACGGTGGACTGCTATTTTTTTTCTTTTTCTTTTTTAAACTCAAAACAATATCATTTGGGAAAATGATAATAAAATTCCTTCAAATTATATAAAAAATAATTTAATCTCTCAAAATATCATAATTCTATTGAAGTCCCAATGGACTTTTGTGCTGATAAATTTTAAAATAAAAAAATTATTTTACCCTTCTTGAAAATTATAACTTTTTTTCTATAAATTACAACAGTTGAACAAGAAATCACAACTTATCAAATGTAATTTTTATTATTAAAAAAAATTCTAATAACAATTTTTGCTTAAAAAACAATAACTTTTATTCTGTGAATCACAAGAGTTGACCAAGAAATCATAACTTGTTAAGTATAATTTCTGTTATTAAAAATAAGTTCTCAAAATAACAAGTTCTAATTACAACTTTTGTTTAAGTAATAATAATTTTTATTCAAATAATTGTAAAAATTAAACGAAAAATCACAATTTGTTAATAAGGGTAAAATAATTTTTTCACATTAAAATTTATTGATACAGAAGTCCCTATAACTATTAATTTTTTCACATTAAAATTTTTTAACACAGAAGTTCCTATAACTATTAATTTTTTCACTTTAAAATTTATTGACACAGAAATCAACTATGGGATTGTTCTCTGCCTTTTTTAGTATCTATAACTGGTTGGCTGATCTTTAATTTTGCCAGAACAATATAAACAAAATAGTTAGAGAGAGAAAAATTTGTCTTAAGGTGGCTCTAGACATGAAACATATTTCTTTCTTCTTCATTTGTCTTAAAGTGTTAGAAAGGATCTTATGACATTTATGTGAAGAAAGTATTAAAAATCTTACATTTGAAAGTGCTTTAGGCAGAGAATTGGGATCATATATAGAAACTCCAAAGCTTTCTTTAACATCCTAGGGAGCATCAAAACACAAATAAGTATGAATTATGTAGTATTTAAAATAATTTATAGATTTTTTCTCACAACATTCTTTAATATATTATTTCTCTCTTGAGAATTTTGTTCTTGTGGCCCAAACTATGTAACTGAGAGAAGTGAGGATAATTAAGTTGAAATTATGGCATTGTACATATGATTTGGTCAGCTTAACAAAAGATTTTGTGTCAAGAGAAGAGCTCATCAGTGTACTTGCTGTTTCATTGGAAAGTGTTTTAGGCAGAGAAATAACCAAGTGATTACTTGATGATGTTGGCATCATTTCAGCTACCTCTAAACTAGGCATGTTATTTTAGAGTTCTAAAACAATATTTAATGATTTTTTTTTATCCTTATAGCAATATTCTACTCCTTACATGGTTTTAGATCTAGAGATATTAAATCCTCTAATAAATGAGGGGTAAATTTAGTAAAGTAATTCATATATTTATATATAGGAAAAACTTAGATACCTTGCTTTATATATTTAGTTTGTTTTTATCCAATAAAATTCAAACAAGTAAATTTTAATGTGTCAATCATATTAGTAACAAAAATTTATTATAGAATAAATAATTTGTAAATGATACACATGTCTTTACTTAATTAAAAATAAGTATATTAAGTATATAAGTTTTTCCCTTTATATATTTATTATATTTTTTATTTGAAGTGTACAAGCTTAAACAGAAAATAAAATAAAATAAAACCGGGGGAGTATTAAAATAGAATCATACGTAGAAGTAGAACCTTCATTAGATTGTTTCAGATTACACACGCACATTGAAATAAGGAAAATAGGCAAAAAGAAAATGTGCTCTGTTTGACTCTGTTTTCAACCCAAAAAAAAAAAAATTTCTGAAGTATGTAATGTTTGCCAATGATGTTAGAAGCAGTTTCCTAACTAATTTCAACTCTATATGATTATTTAGTCATGAAGATAAGGTTATTGTAGGCTATGAAGACAATTGGTGCAAGCTTTGACAAAAAGTATTAAACCAATTCACAAATAAAATATTTTTTAAATAAAATACACACACACACCAAACATGCTTGTGACTATGATTCATAAAAACACTAATTAAATACTTGTCAAAATAAAGAACACAAAATAAAAACTTAAGTTATTATATTAAATACTTCATATATGGCCATTTATAATTACCTTGAAACAATTGTTGCTGACTTTCTTCCCTTGGCCAAAACGGTTCTGCAAGGAAAAGCATTTCCCAAAAATTAAAAAGTGGTTTTATTATATTAATTAAAAGGGTTAAGGTCCAATTTTATTTTTGTACTTATTTTTTTAGGAGTGTTGGGCAATCTATATTTTTAAGTAGGGTAATTTTATCCCCGAACTATTTTTTTGAGGAGCAAAAAACTATTAATTTTATCCCTTCTATTAGTCAACTGTTAATTTTTTTCACTTTTTGTTGACACGGCATGTGTGTGAAGCCCACGCATAGTAATAGATAAAACTTTGAACATGTCCTTTGATTTTAATTTGTCCCTGAACCCTTTTTCTAAGAGCAGTGAGTATTTTCAAGTTTTTTTCTAAGAATGTTGGGTACCCTAAAGTTTTGTTAAAATAAAATTTAATAAATATTATTAAAATATTAAATATTTTAATATTTAGTAATTTAAAATATTTAGGGTTAATGAGAAAAATAGACTTTGAAATATTGCATGAAAAGTGCCTTGAACTCTAAACTCTTAATGCAAAATGAACTCTAAACTTTTAAATTTACAGTGAATTTAAACCCTACCAATCAAATGTTAACATGGCAATCCCTTGCTAATATGTCATTTGTTAATTAACTTCATATACCCTAAACTATTATGTGAGTAATGTTTTAGACTCTAAATTTTGAAATTTTAACCAAATTACCCCTACTATTTATGTATAAAATGTTAACTGTTATGTAAACCAAATTAGCCCAAGCATGGTTCACTAGGTTGAATGCATCGTTAGCCATGGCAAATGACCCATAATTTAGTGAAATGATGTTTTTGCCCCTTTTTTTAATGTTTTCCCAACTATTGGTATGTCATGCTCTTGTATGCACTATAACTTTAATTTAGTTTTATTTTAAATAATTTTTATTTATATAATGGTGAAAACTTGGGATCCTATTGAAAAATAAGTTTAATTATTAGAAGATTTTAATTAACTGGTTAATTTAAGTTTTAAATTCACTGATGAAATCATTATCTTTTGTATCCATCATTTGTAAAATCCTTTGATACTTAAATTCCTTTTTAAATGAGATCTCAAGTTTTCACCATTAAATAAATAAACATTATTTTAAAATAAGACTAAGTTAGGATTATAGAATATACAGAAGCATGAGATACAAATCATTTGTAAAACATTGCATAAAAGGGGAAAAATATCATCTCACAAAATTATGAGTCGTTCGTCACAGCTAATAATGTGTTCACTGCGACAGACCATGTTGGGGCTAATTTAGTCTGTATAATAGTCAACATTCTATACATAAATGGTGGGAGTAATTTGCTTAAAATTTTAAAGTTGAGGATCCAGGACACTACTTGAGTAATAGTTTAGGGTCTATGATGTTAATTAATAAAATGATATATTAGCAAGGGATTGCCATATTAGCATTTGATTGGACCCTACGCTGAACAATATGGTGAATAGTAACAGTGTTAACAAAAAGTTAATGGTAGGATTTAATTTGTCATGAATTTAAAAGTTTAGAGTTCATTTTAAATATTTTAAGAGTTCAGATTCCAGGCATTTTTTGCATAATACTTTAGGGTCCATTTTACTCATTAACCCTAATATTTAATAATTTAAATATTATTATATTAAAACATTATGCCACCCATTTTAACATTTTTGATATTTTGCAATTTTACATTAAAAATGAAGAGAATAAACCTCCAAATTAATGAAGGAATTTTTTTCTTCCCATCTCCATTTTTTTCTTGTTAAGTAACTTTTTTTTTTGTAACACATCAACGAAATAAGAAATATCTTTTAAATAAATGCTTTTGTTCTCATATTATTTGTCACTCCCCGATATTAAAGGTGCGACAGGCATAGAATATGAGATACACTCACATTCCATAAGCCTTAATTAACTAAATATAAAAATAAAATATCAATAAATAAACCCTACTAGTCAAAAAGGCTCTTAATATATACATAATTATAAAGTTGGTGAAATTTTAAACATTCTATAAAAATTTCAACAAAATCTCCCCTATAACTACGACCTCCCAAAATTTCTATAGGAGCAAAACCTGTCAGCCAAACCAGAATGGAGCTTAACTCCACACCAATATATTTCACAACAACAAAATAAAACTAAGACCTAAATACAATATACGTGGAGCGCTAAATTTATAATTTTAATATAATATATAATTGCATCAAAATGAATTGTCAAAGATTGCTCCCACTATCCAAAAAACAATAATGCCCCTCAATGATCGACAAAAGATGTAGGGTTAGCTACAATATGAGACCAAAGAAATTTTCGGTGAGTAGCGTTTCAATCAAGTTTGTAAATTATAAATAAATAAATAAATAAAAATGTGAAAATAATAACTAATAATTTAATTTAAACAAATCAAAGAAATAATGAAACACTTGCCTTAATTAACAATAAATGATGAGTTTGCTTAATGGTATAATCGTAGAAGGACCAACAATATTAGAACTCGATAAGTTTATAAAAATTTTATAATATATATAATATTTTGAGTAATGGTGCAATTTTAAAAATGCCTTTAAAGAAATTAATATAAAATCAACAAGTTTTAAGTCCAATTTAGGAGGGCTTTATTAGAATGAATAACAGGCGTGGACATACAGTTCACGAGGGTAAGTAACATATTCGGCGTGGCAAGAAGCCACAAATAATAGGTGCAAGCATAAAGCTCATGAACAACAAGTGTGGATTACATCCACGAAACTACATTCTCCACTCCATATGTGTTGGCCAGCACACGGGGCTAACAACTCCAATGCACCCTACTAGCTAGGTGTACCATGGTACGCCAAGGGCTAACAGAATTGCTGTTAGCATCCAGCATTCTGAATTCAATCCCCCTAATTAAAAATCAAGCGTGCATGGAGCAAGAATAAAATTTTCAAAATTTTTCACTTTCAAATAAGCTGTTCAACAATCATTTTTCATTTCTTATGTTCATCTTCCTATCCTCCATGCACAAATTGTCATAATAAAAAATTTCATATCAAACATAGAATTTATTAAGTTACTTTTGAAACGTAATACCATTTGTCATATATCAACTTCAATCATTACTTGGCAATAACATAAATCATGGGCAAAATCAAGAAATCATGATTTATAAATCAATTGTTATAAAAATAAAATTTGCACGAATATTTATACCGCCTATGAAAGAATAATATTAAAATTTAAATAAAGGGATTTTATAAACATTTTGCTAGAAATTTATTCGCAATGCTACCCACTCACCTGAGATTTTTCAATAATCTTATAGTTGAACTCCTTCAATTTTACGCTTACTTCAGTGATGCCCTAAATTAACCTAGCATTTAAACCAGCAACTCTTATATCATTATGATTTTCCTTCTTAATATAAGCAAGTGAACTAATATTCAAGCTCTTCACCAATTCTTTAAATTTTTGGTTAACCCTTTAAACTCTCAATAAATCTTTCAATAAATTCCATGAAGCAATCAACAACACTTGGAAGCATTCAATCTTGATCATTAACACAGCTCTTAATCCAAGCTAAACAAAATCTTAATTATTATGGAGCCTAGCAATTTTTCTTTAGGTGCTGTAGAATTGCCATGGATAGATCAACTTCATAATTCATATGAAGACATATACTTCCTCAAGTAGCATATATAATTCCTTTAAGCTCTAGTATGAAAATTAAAAATCTTATTCCCACCAATTTCTTCTTTTAAGCATTCCTACAAGCACTATAAGAATATTTACAACTAACTAAATTATGAACCCAGCATCCAAGCTTCCAACTTCTTCAAATGTTTAATTCTACAATCAAGATTCAGCTCATCATTAAAATGAAGAAGCACCCAACATAAACCAAACACCACCTCAATTTCCTCAAAATCATGATAGCAACAATGAAGAGCAAAGACACATCTTTCGGCTAGGGGAGGAAGAGAAAATGATTTGGTGTAACTATTGAAATCAAAGAAGGAGAAGAAAGTACTGATGATTTACCTTCACCCAAAGTGCAGCAGTGACAGTTATAATCAGCACATGGTCAACACCAAGAAGGAAAGAAAAAGCTTCAATGTGCCGCACGAACAAGAGGGAAGAACATCAAAAACCATTGGCTAGCAAAAGAAAGAAATTAAGTTTATCAAACACACATAGGCATGTCCTATAACTGAAGAGGAAAGGAAATTAAAGCTCATACACACTAACGATACAACAGAGAAGATTAGGACGAAACAGGGGCGGTGGCAAGGAGAGGATTTGGTGATAGCAACACTCCCAGCGGCGGGACGTGACGGCGAGGAAGAGACATAGTTGATGGTGAGCAAAGAAAATCAACCCCAAAGAACAGAAAGGCAGTGCAACAGGGAAGAGGAGAAGGAACAAAAGAACGATGCTCTCTCTCGCTATCTCTCCACTCTGCGTCTGAATAAAGAATTAGGACGAAAAGGATAAATATAAAACTTCTTAGAAAAATTACAAGTAATGACCCCATCAGATTTTTATTGTTATTATAATATTTTATTCATTATTCTTCTTTATAACAAGGAGCAAGGACACTTTAGTAATCTCCCCATATAAAACAAAATAAAATTAACTTTTGGATTAAGTAAAATTTGAACTTTAGACCTTCAAGTAAGTATCTAGTATAGAGTCTACTAGGTTAATATTCCTATTAGTCATAAGACTAAAATAAATAAATAAAATATCAATTAGAAGAAAATTATTTAATTTAAAATTTAGGATCATTACATTATTGGTTTTGATTTGTTATGTTTTTAATTTTACTCCTAACACTACAATATATAGAGAATATTAAATTTGAGTAGTGTAATATTTTAGAGGAAGATTATTAGTTAACCAAAAAAATTACAAAAAATTACCTAAAATTTTAATGAACTAAACCAATATTAAAAATATGAGTAAGTTCTAACATGTACAAAAGATATAATAATTTAGATATTGTCTCAAATAAAAGATCAAAAATTGATATATAAAAAATAAGAAGTTATATATAATTAAATTTATAAAATACTAATTTGAGTTGTTAATATTTAAAAAGTAATTTATAAATTTTGAGTAAATATTTCTAAATAATAATATTTAAATTATTAAATTTTATTTTAAGAAGACTTTAGTGTATCCAATGCTATTGGAAAAAGATTTTAGGACACCCAACACTTTTAGAAAAAATGTTCAGAGGAAAATTGGTACTAAAGAATATAGTCAGAGTTTTACCTATCACTGTGCATGGCTCCACGCACATATCTCGTTAGCAAAAAATGATAAAAGTTAATGACCTCCTAATAGAAAGGTGTTTTTGAATCTCAAAAAAATACTTCAAAAAGAAAATTGCCCCACTTAAGAGTATAGAGTGCTTAATACTTTAAAAAAAAATGAGTACATGGACAGATTAAGACCTTAACCCTGAATATTACATTTATCAATAGTATTAGTTGTTATGTCAAAATATCCATTATTTGGAAAACTTTCATATTTAAATAATGAAAAATTACATTGTGGATTATTATATCAACCAATATACTTCAAATTATATGCCAGACATGAAAAGGGGTAAACCTATAGACATAAAAAAGTGCCTTGTTGTTATGATCATTTCTACTGCTTTGTGAAAATTGCAAAGTTGCAAGATGAAACATTTATTATGAAAACACCATGAAGTTCAAACAAGAATAATAAAAGTACTTAGTTTTATTACACATAAATTTTCAATACACACAGATACATATCAAATTGGCACTTGGATTATTTTTTTCAAAGAAAAAAAAAGAGAACAGTACCTCTAAATTTTATTAATGAACCCTCACTTCTGGCAGAGGAATACCATGGTTACATTGAAGATTTGAACCAAACCAACATAAGAAAAATACAAAAATTAAAACCTAGATTATTACATGCCAAACGTATGGACACTGGTAATGATTATTAAAAACACAAGTTAAACATTTTGTAACAATTTAAGTTCCATAACAATTCAACAAATGGAAGAGCTTAATTATTACAAAAGTAAAGTTATTAAATTAAATACAACAATGGAGAGGCACTAAAAGAGATTTCCCACCGCATTGTTGTTTAGTTGAAATTGGCTACACAAAACTGACCACCTATGATTGGCCTGAAACAATTGTTGCTGAGCTTTTTGTTGATCTTTTGTCTTTTCAAACCTTTCTTTTCTTACATTCTCAAACTCTTTATTAAGTTCAATCATTTCTATAGAATACTTCTTCATTTTCTCTTAAAGAAACGATACTTCAGCCTCACAATCTTGTATCTCTCAATCCAACACAGAGTTTTGTTCCTTCAGCTTGGCTTCCATGTCTTGAGCTTCATTCAAAAGCCTGAAAAATTTGTTCAACATAGCAAATGCTTGCTTGAAAGAATAAGTAAGGCCTGTAAAATCTCGGTGCAATGATTGTATTGCATCTTTAAGTCCATGGGATAAAACTCCATCATCAAAATAAAGGTGAAAAAAGAAGTTGAGAGCATCATCATGAGGAAATGTCTTATGATCACCAATTTGATCTTTGGACTCTTCAATATTCTATATAGAAGGGAAAATTAAATAAGTTACTGTCTTTGGCATCATCATGAGGAAATGTCTTAGGCAAAGAACCAAAGAGTGACTTTGCTGGTTTTGAATGAGTCGATGAGGTAATTATACCTTAGCATTATCTAGTGTAGAGCCTTTAGACCTCTCAACACCTTGCATAGCAAGAAAAATATGTAAATCACATGAGCTTTACACTTTTTTTATTTTCCTTTGATGAATTTCGTTCTTAGAAACTTTGATTTTTGTATCTATGACATTGTATATCATGATCTTCTCAAAACATTACTTTTATTTTATGAAGAATTTCAATATTAGTTATAAGCAAGAAATATCAGTTTTTGCAAGTGATGTTGCAGGTCGTCCCTCAAATCTTGATTCATTAGCTAATGTTTCATTCACCAACTCCTTATAAAAAATTAATTAATAGATATATAGATAGAATCAAGAAAGGATTTTGTTAAGAATATATGCATTCATTGGCCGCCAATCATATATGTAATTGAATTTAAGATTTGTTAAAGTTGGCAATGTTGCAAAGGAACAAGAATAAGGTCTAAAATCATAGTTTGAGCAATACCTTTGGACGTAGTTTGGGTAGAGAAACTAATGAGTCTTGGAGTGAGGTTGTTGGGTCTAAACAAGTTTCTGGTGCAATTATTAATGTAGCATTTTTGGGTGTAGAACTTTCTTTAATAATACCTTCAACTCTCTGTACAACAGCGAAAGATATGCAACATCAAGTCTTATACATATAGTAACCAAATCCATATTTTGCAATACTGCTATTACCTTTTGCTCTGCTATGTTTATGTTATCATCACCATTCTGTTCTTTGCACTCTTCAACATTCTATATAAATGAGAAAATTAATATGGTATTGTTTATCGCATCATGTGTTAAGCTTTACTTGAGTTCCTTGAAGAACTACATTATCTATAATTTCTCTATGCACACAGATTCACCTGTGTCAAGTTTGGTGAAGCAACTGGTGTCAATTCCTGCACATTATTCTAAGCATTGCTAGAAATATCTTCCAACCAAAATGTATACGGCCGCCAAATGTAATCCTCGTAATCTATATGGTTTACAAACACACACGCACACATTGTAAATTATATATTTTAAGTGCTAGAAAAAAGAAAGTACAACTTGACACATGATTCTCAAATCAAATTTCTATACTCTGAGATTAAATTTAAGCAATCGCAGTTTAACTATTTTCATGTGGCTGCTATCATCAAAACAAACTTATTTTTATTGATAAGAAGTTATGTTTAATGTGCTTTAATTATGAAAATAAATTCTCGCAATCTATGATAATTAATTAGTAGGAACTGGCATTTACAAAACCTTAATTATACGCTGTAACAATTTACACTTCAATTTCAGAAATCAGGAAATAAAACCATGCATAAGAACTTGTAACTAGTAAAAGTGATTTGACGTCTCTCGCCAAATTGAAGTTTTCCATATGCTGTATTGGAATTGGAATTTGCTGACCATGTGCGTCCTTAATGCACAATGAATGATGTACAAAATATATTTTATTCTAAATAAATTTTCTTTTAGAAATTTGAAAACTTGAATTTACTTAAAAAAAATTATCATGTCCACAATAAAATATGTGACTATCAATCCCAACTTGTCGATAGCAAAATTTTTCAAAAAAATCATGATAATTGTGTATATAAAAATGATAAATGATATGCGTTTCTTAATCTACAATGATTTGAAAGACATTTCTTGTATTCAAGCACACCAAGCTAATTATTTTACAAGGAAAAAAGGGGGGAAAACCCTCTAAGCTAACAGCCATATGTTTCCGTATGATGGATTGATGGGTATCATTTGTGTTTATTGTAAATCACCAAATTCTTCTCATATTTGTCGTTTTACGAAATGATCAATATACATATACATACATACATATATATATATATATATATATAAAAGTGAAAAAAAGAGTCACAACATGAATCCTTGTAATATCAGTGAACTCAAACATGTTTTATTAATATTTTATATATATATATATATTATAATCATTTACTGAAAAATATTTTTCAAAAAATCTTAATTAACATGAATTTATCATGTGAATTTAAAATATAATTAAATATTTTTATCTTATATGTGTATGTATATATATACATATCATTGAGACATGTTAAGTAAGATAAAAACTTGAAATTGATGACAGAGTGGAAGCAATAATTATAATGATAAGAAATATATGCATATATATATATATATATAACCATCACACAAGCACAAATAATATTAAGTACCTAGATCATTTTTTAATATTTGCACCAAATCCAGCAAAGCTATAGTGGGAGTGAGAGTAGTAGAGAGTTGGGGACATTGATCTACAACAAGGTATCTCACGCTTTGGAGATTATGAATGTTGAGACTATGTACAGTGAGTTTTGGTAATTGAAAAAGTATTGCAACATTCAAGTTAGGAATGAGAGTTTCTTTTATAGACATTGTCTCTACTTCTTCATCTCCCAATACTCTCTCTAGCTTTGATGCTTTAGATATCCACATTCCCCTTAGTTTGGGAAGCATACCACATGCTGGCTTAGAGAATACATGTTTCAATTTATGACAATCTTTGATGAAGATTATGGTGAGACTTGGAAAGATAGCAGGATGTCGAGGATTGAGCACATTTTGATTTTCTGGATTGAGCACATTTTGATTTTCTTTGACAATTGCCTCCAATTCCTTACAAGAATATATGAAAATATATTCCAAATGTGGGAGCACATGACATGTAGAGACAGAGAATACAAATTTCAACTTATCATAATTTCTAACTTCAATTGAAGTGAGATTTAGGAAGATAGCAGGTTGGTGAGGATTTAGCATGTTTTTATTTTCTTCTTCTTCATCATCTCCAATTATTTCTTCCAAATCCTTGCACTGCCAAATCTCAAATATTCTCAACTGTGGAAGGCTTCTCGTGATGGATGCAGGGAATATAACTCTTAAATTGTCACAATTCCAAATATGTAAATGATCAAGATGTTGAAGGAGTAAGAAATTTTTGGGACCCCTCCATATATCCCTCAACCTTGGTAGATCCCCAATTCAAGCCATTGTAAGCTTGAGTTCACTTGTTGTACATTGTTAGGAATCTCATTCGCATTGAAAATAACTTCTACTTCAATATTAGACACATCAAGTGATTGTAATGTTTGTAGTGAGGACACAGCTGCCTTCAACAGCTCCTACAAATAAAAAAGAATATGAATCCATAAGCTATATAATAATGCTGAACAACAATCAGCATAATTAATTATATATGTTTCACAACTATATAAAAGCAAGAAAGTCAGTATGCCATGTTGTGCTCTCTGCCACATATACTTTACCAATCACCCTCTTCTTCATTTTTGATTATGGGTACTTTAAAATTTAATTAACATCAACATCCATAAATTAAATTCATTTCATTTAGGAGTCCAAATGGAAACTTCAATTAGAAATTAATATGTTCTTCTTTATTACACGTACTGTTGACATTCTAATAGATTAAACATAGAGGACATGAATTTTTCTTCATTAAATTGTAGCAAACGTTAAACTATATTCATAAACCAGCAGATGTTGAAACATTTTTGAATATTTAAAATAATCATGCATAATTAAAAAATAATACAATAAATAAAATGAACAATATTATATTAGAAGACATCGTACCTCTGATGCTATCTGATCATGCATTTGACTTAATCCGCATCCAGCAATCCAATGATTCATGGACATGGAATTCAATTGATGGCAATTATTCAACCACATATATGTCAAAGATGGGCATGTTGGATGATAATTTTTCAGACAAATGCTAATGATATTTGACAAGGCTTGTAGAGTTAGGTTTCTCAAAGACAAAAAAGTGGATTATTTGGAATTCGTTTAGGTTTGGATTTTCATAAATGGATGGGCCAAACACACTCTTTAATTTAGGAGCATTCATTATTTGTAGATCTTCCAATTTTGCAAAGGCTTTGAGCACGAGAGACGGGCATTGAGTATTCTAGTTAAAGGCACTCATCTATTGTTAGTCTTTTCAAATTTGGGAATGTAGATCTATAGCTCCCTTGATGTTCACTATCACATGCAACTATATCTTCCCTTTTTTCTGCTGTTGCATGCTCAAGTGAATCGCAATTCAATATCTTTAGGACCTCTAATTTTGCAAAAAGACCCAACAGAAGCTAACCATGATACAAAGACTTCAAATGCCTCATCCTTTATATAGTTAGATAAGTCAATTTGGAGATAATTCCAACTTCACCCAAATGATTTGCAGGATTTATCATATACTCTATCTCCTTCAAGAAAAGGACTGAAAGTTCAGCCAAAGCATCTATATCCCCTCTTATTGTTTGAAACACATGAGAAAATATATATTTACAACTTGTCATTCTCCCTATGGAAAGAACCTCTGCTCTTTGCATTATATCCTTAATTGTTGCATTTAATATATAAGTTTCAAAATTATCAACATGTAAGCTTCTTGTAGTAGGAAACTTTTTTTAATTAAAACTGCCTCCAAAATTTATACAATAACTTTTTGGTGTAAATTTATTAAAGAATTCACCAATATTCTTGCATGGGTCAAGTGAAACTCCAACATTTTCACAAAAATACAAGACTACCAATTGGGAACACATTCCAATCACTTCAAAAGGATTTCTTTGAATATCACATGTCCAAATATCTAATAACCTCATGCTTTTATGTTCTACAATGCATTTAGGCAATTCGTTGAAAGAACAATCCCATAATGTAAGAGACTCGAGTCTACTAAGGCTTTCAATGAATGAGATGTCTTCTAATGACAAATTTTGAAAGAATAGGCAACAAAGATTATTTATCAAATGGGTTGACTTTGAGCATTGTAGAGTTGTTTTTTTATCCAACCAGAAGTTACATTTAAGAATCAAAACTCGTAGCTTTTCTATGTGTTTAAGAAAAACATTTGCTAGATCAATAGCACTAATTTCATTTATAGAAATAGAAAAAAGCTCAAGTTCAGAAAAATCCAAATTATAAGATAATGCCTTCATGTCATCAAGCCACAAATATCTTACAATATCATCCTTCAAAATCATATCTTCTTTTAATGTTTTTTGTCCTAATTTGTCTTCTTTAATAATCAACCTAATCTCCTTCTTTAAAATCCAGAGAGTTACATCACGAACCAAATCATGCATTTTGACGTGATCATTTTTTTCATCAACTTCTAGTAGCAAACAAGAATCTATAAGCCTATTTTTGCCTTTAATGATCACTTGGTTTCTTAGCCTTTGATATGAGTCAACTTCTTTCACAAGACCAAGTCCTACTCCTAACATGGTTAATTCTTCAATTGGAATTTCATAATCCTCAAGAAATATAGAGCACAACAAGAAGATTGACTTGGTTTGACCAAGGTTGTTTTCCTAGATCCCCTTATGCCATGTAATCCAATCAGGTGGACATGTTCATCTTTTAGTGCCTCCAAAAGTTCATTACTAGCCACCTGCCTATTGTTGAAGCATATGAAACCTTTTGAAGAAAAGTAGTTCATGTCGACAAGTGTGGTAAATTAAGAAAATTTTGGGAATTCAATTTTGCGATACTCTCTAATTTCATTGATTTTCCTTTGAATTTGTTTAGCAAGAGTGTAACGCTTGATCAAGCTTGGAAAATACTTAAAACAAGATGTCTTGTTTTTGTTCTTTATCTTTTCTTCTAGCTACACCACTTTTACCACCAAAGAGTTTGCTTCACACAACCATATCTCAACTTCTTTAACAACATTTTTTGTTTGCTTCTTATCCTCTTTAGCTCGATGAAGAACATCTCCTACTTTGGATTGCAACTTTGTTTTTTCTGCTTCAAGCTCTTTGGCATACTTGTTGAAGCAGAAAGAATAAGAAGCTTCATGTATTGTTGCATTCACTAACTTGCTCAAAATATTGTTTACAAAAGAGACAACAATGTCTATGTCCTCTAAAAGTACAGATATAATTCATGAGATAATATGATCATAATTTTGAATGCTATAAAAATAATATTTGGTATTAGATAGAGGGAAAAATAATAATTAAGGACTCATTTTCTTAATACTTAAACAAATTGAAAATCAAATTCATCTTACTCTAAAAAAAAAATCTTTGGTGACTATAGAAATAACTTCATTGCAAACAAAATAAAAAACCTAAAAAGAACAGGAAAAAAAAACATTTCTAATTCACATGGAGAAATTCATGTTGTAAATTAAGAGAGTATTTGATAACTTAAAAAAATTCAATATATAGCAATTTAGCTATATAATTTACAAAATAAATTTAATTCTTAATCCTTTATAGTCAACTTTTCAATTATTTTATTTGGTTGTTTAGCACTTTTTATGCAAAAAATAAAAAGGAAATGTTAAAAAATGCAAATAGATTAAATTTAATATTTTCAAAAAAATTAATTTTGAAATGAATGCTTTAAAGTTTTAATCAAAATATCTTTTTAAATATTTTATAATGACCCTAAATTTGTAAATAAATAATTCTCCTAATTGATATTTTTTTTAAATTAGTTTTATAGGAAAGGAAGAGCAGTGATTTATTGTAACTTATGCTTGTACCTTATTTGAAGGTCCAAAGTTCAAATTTTCTTGAGTAATAGGTTAATTTTATTTTGTTTTAATAATGGTAAAATTGCAAAAGTACTCTTGTCTTTTGTATTATAAAAGAAAAAAGTTGGGGGTCATTCCTGTAATTTTTGCAATTAGTCTTGGTTCAGATTTTTTTTTCTTCTTATGCAAAGAACAAAGCACCGTAAGCATATATTATTTTTCCTTCTCTCCATCGACAATGAGCTCCTTTGAGTCCTTCACCATTGACTTGCTCCCTCTACACCATCAGCCTACTTCTTCCTTCATCATCGTTGTTCTGCAACTAAAAGTGGCGAGGCTTGGTTTATTTTCTCCTCTCCTTCCTTGTTTTGGCTGTCGCACAAGTTCAGCGGTGTGTGTGAGAAGTTGAGTCATTGAAGATGAGAAATCCTTGCCTTTCCTCTATCCTTCGCTTTTCCTTCTCTATTCATGCTTCTACTGCAGTTGCTGCAGTTTTGGTGGTTGTGGGATGCGTCAATTTCTTTCTCTCCACTTTTTCCCTCAATCTAGCTTTGCTCATTTCTCTTTTGGGTTTTTGTTTGTTCACATGGCAATATATTGTTGGCTTGCAAAATTTTCTTTCTTCTCCCTTGTTTATGTCGCTTATCGGTGTAGGAAGGAATTTCATTTTTCTCATTCTTCCTCTATTAAGTTTAGTGTTGATTACTTTTGTGTTGTGTGTTGAAATTACAAGTTGATTATTTCTTTTTTTTTAGTTTCTGTGCGTGAGGTATGGGAGAAATTAATAAGATTAAGCAAGCTGAAATTTAAACATGGAGAACATGTTAAATGGATAATTTCACTAAATTTGTTACAATTACTTAAGGAAGACGAGAGTGGGTTGAATTTTAATCGAGCATAAATTGATTCTTGAAAGGGAATTTGATTGGGAAAGCATGATGAATTTAAGTATGAATATTTGGGGACTTGTTGGGCAAAGGGTTGAAGGTTAAAAAAGTTTAATTGAATGAATTGGAAATTAATGCACACCAGTTATTTGTTAAAAGGTCTAATAGAGAATCAAATCTCACTTAAATTATTAGTTGTGGCTAAGCATCATAGAGAAACTATGATAGAAATTATGATGTTGGGGAAATTTTGAATTATTTAAATTAATATTGGTGGTGTTAATGCTGGAAGGGAGTCTATTAAATTTGTAGAAAGCCTTTTAAAACCTCATTATTATATCTTATAGGATATTTGGAAGAACATAAATTTGAAGGATTATATCTTTGGATTTGAAGTAACGTTAGGTAAGTTAATAGCATCTTAATGGTTCGTTATCAAACTTGTTTTATTAAAAATATTGTTTGACCATATTTATATGTTACATTCTTTTTTTATATAAACCTCTAGATTCCTTAAAATTAAATGGTAAATTATTTTTAATTTAGTCTTACTTAATAGTTAATTATTTTAATTTTATTGTCGATGGTTGAATTTGGAAATGTTTTCTACATAAATGAATTTTTAGAAATATTTGAAATTATTTTCTTCAAAGGAATATCCGAAGGTAATGGCTATGTTGACCTTCATGTAAGAGAAATTATGTTGATTTTATATCCATGTATGTTTGATTTGAAATGTGAGATTTAATCAAAATGCTGGTTGCTAACGATAGTTTCCATTAGCCTTTAGCACGCCATGGTACACTCAGTTAGCAGGGTGCATTAGAGGTGCTAGCCCCGTGTGCCAGCCAACACATGTGAAGTGGAGGATGTAGTTTCATGGACATAATCCATGCCTGTTATTCGTGAGCTTTATACTTGCACCTATTTTCCTGCTTCTTACCATGCAGGATATGTTATTTATCCTCGTGGACTGTGTGTTCACGCTTGTTAATTGTTCTGATTTAGTCCTGCTAAAGAAAGAGTTTTGATGCTTATTTTCTTTATGTTTGATTTTGAAAAGTAAACGATTATTATTTTTTTACGGTATATGGATTTTGTATTGAGAAACATAAGTCCCAAGGTGTTTAGGCATATGAGGAAATGAAAGGTGGAACTTGAATTTCTAATAATTTTAATTTAATTCTTATCTTCATACTTTACGCATTTACATAGTTGTTAGTCTTGATGTTTATGAAGATGCATTTATATTATAACAACTAATTATTTTAATAAGTTTATAATTAACTTATTGATTTTACTTTCTATTATTTATTTCAACTATAAATTGGGACATTATTCACTGAAAATACTTTTGGTCCTAGATTACAGAGTTAGTGATGTACCTTCTACTGACCTCTAATAGGGCTCATTGCTGAATTAATTAAAAGATCCTTTGAGGACATCTTTTTTTTTATGTAAATGTTTAGTTATATGTTATATTTTGAAATTCATGATTAGGTGCTCTATGTTAACTGTAGATAGAATCCTGACCTGTGATATATTTATCTATTTGTTGTGGAGGAGTAGAGCTCCGCATTCTTGACTTGGACTGTATATTACTGTTGTAAAGATTTCAAGAGATCATATTTGTTAGGGAGGTTTTTCCGAAATTTTTACAAAAAAGTTTAGAAATCTTGTGTGCATATGAAAATATTATAATGACTTTGTATCCTATTTCAAATGGATTAAAATATTATATTGAAGTTTCCTTGATTAAGGCTTAAGGGATATATGTTTGTGCATATATCCTGTGCCGAACATGTCCAATTTTGAGGCGTGATAGTTTCCATGATTCAGATCTTCCCCCAAACATACACATAGAGTAAATTGCATTCACCTCGTAATGAGACTACTTGTAAATTGCTATTTGCCATAGAAACATGTATAAATTGTTCTTGTTTCTTCAATTGTGCTTGAAAAGCTAGTGCACATTGCTTCAAGGAACTAGGCCTTAAGAGATAAACAAGAACATGCCTTGGCATTGACTCAATTCTGAAATTTGGAATTGCTAAACCAAGCTAAAGGAATCAAAAGATTAATGCTAGGATTTTCTTTAGTCAAGTCTGAGCAGAAGTAAAGCAAATTATGTGGGATGGCGATTTTGCACTTTAAAGGAAGAAAGAAATAAAAATTAAGGGATAATAAGTAATGTCATGAACAGATTGAAGGGGGAGCTAGAGCATTGATCTTTGAATTTCTTTACAAGCAACCTGAAATTTCCTTTTTTTTTGGTATCTTTAGATTTATTGTCAAACAACTAAGTACTAACCCATTCTGTTTCTCCATTCAAACATGCATATAAAATTGTGCATTTAGCTTGTAATGGAATATCTACTTTGCCACAACACTAGTGTTAATAGTTGTAGTTAAACCTTCATCTGGTATTTTGTTGATTCCTTTCCTTTAGCTTTTGACAGAAGGGTTTGTGTCAGTTTCCATTATTTTCATCTTCCCTTGATGAGCTGGACTTGAAAAACTTAAGATTGTAAAATCTAGAGTTTGCTTCACAAATATATTCTATATCATGTGTGCTGACAACACCTTTCTATTTGGACTAGGGGAGAATCTAGTAGTTAAATTCACTTGATATTACTTTCATTGCTAGAGGATAAAGGAGAAATTATATATTTTAATTTTCTAATAATGGATATTTGTTCCTTAGGATTAATGAAATTGGCTTTTGATTTTTAATCATGTAATCATTTTTTTTATTAACCAAATGGCTTGTACGTTCACTTAGTTCATGTTCCTGATTTTTGCTAATTTATTTTCTTGGTTGTTCAATGAAATTGTTAGGTTTGTTATGGATGAGCCCTTGATACTAAAGTTTCAAGTTTCAAAAGAAAAGGAGTTGAGTTTACTCCGTTAGACATATCTCTCAGGGAGACGATCAAAAGCTTGAAAGACAAGAAGTTTCTTGATTTTTAATCATGATATCTCCTGCAAATATTGATAATCGTGACCATGTTTTCATCCACACCTTTGGTTTTGAAGGCTTGGCATCCTTTGTAAAACATGGTTGAAAGGACATAATTGTGATACGAGGATTGTAATAAATAATGATAATTAATTTTAATTTTACATTTCATAATGATTACCTGCCAAAAGGATTGCTAATACTAACTAGCTATTAATATGAAAAGGACATGTTCACAAGATATAAATAATACAGCTCATGTTAATGTTATCTTGTAGGTGAGGTTGCTGATTTTGCCATAAATAGTGACTTGGCTTGCTTTTATGAATTTCAGCAAGGTTAAAATGGAAAATGCTAAATTTTGAAAGTTGCTTTGTCAACTTATACCTACTGGAGATGTGCTAACAGCCCATCACAACCCAACCTCTTCGACTTATCCATTTGGATGTGAAGCACAAGAATCCCTCAACAATACTTTTTGTGATTGTCCTTTTATCAGAGCCATCTGGTTTGGCTCCTTGTCTTTTTGCTCTCTGACATTTCTAATTCATGATTGGTTAATTGGATTTTGAAAACTTTAAAGAACTTTGCCCAGGCCAATAATTTCCAAGCCATAGAAGGTATTTTTCTCCTCCTTCATATGATTTGGCAAAAAGAAACACTGCTTTACACAGTGATTTTCAATAGACTCTAATGTTAGTAATTAGATGATTTCACAGTCAATTTTTTTCCTTAATCTACATGTAAATGGAATTCTGGTATAAATAAGATGCGATCGAAAATCACTTGTAACCAAATGGGTTAATGGTATATAGAGCATCAAAGTATCATTCAGATCTTAAACATTGGTTCAAGCTACATCGACTCTAGATTATGAAATATACATCACCAAGTTCAAGAAGAGAGGACTAACAAGTTGTGTAGATATTATCGAACTAAATGATGAAGCATTGCAGTGCATATTGATCACAGAATCCAAGTAAATGGATCCAAACCAATTTGGCCTTGCATGTATGAGATTGATCCTGTTCTAGATCCAGGTAAAGAATTCCATGCAGTTACATCAATTGGTTGAACTTCACAGAAGTTTCCAAAAAGACCACTATATTCAACCGACTGAGGAAAATATAGAGAATCTCTTCCAACCAGACATCCATCTTTTGCTTTAGGATATCTATATCTTAATTCTTCTCTTTTATCTATTGACTCTTTTTTTTTTACATGTCCTTTTTCTAAAGCTACTTTTAGTTTGTAATTATTGACTTATTATTAATATAATTGTTTGACTTTTTATTAAAAAAAAAGAAAACTTAGCATTGTAGAGAGATGTTTAAGTGAATTGAGTCTCATACATTGCTTAGAGCTTGAAGTTGGAAGTCACATTTATAACTAAGTAGTGAATTTAGAAGACTATATATTGATGTGTTATAAAAAATGAGAAATTTATGCATGGACGTGATACACAATGTTATCCATGGTCTGTCGGATAAAAACATACCATGTTAGAATAATTTTTTTTTTAGTCTTTTGAACTAGTTTAGATACTTCCATATATTATAACAACAAACTAAATTACTATAACAATGATTATATTTTAAAACAAAAATTCTAAACATATAATACCCTTTGACTTGTAAGATATGAAAGTGGGTAATTTGTTAACTTCATGAAAGTACACTTTTATGTGATACACTTTTATGTGATTCCCATGCATTAGGCTATAACTTGCAAGATGATACAACTGTACAGTGAAAAAAAAACTAAAAAACTTTAAGCAGAAGTGTACTATTACATATAAATGTATTTCATAAGTTAATCTAAATGTATATCAAATAGAAGTTTAAATTAAATTTCTCATTCTTAAAAAAAGAGGACGGCACCTCCAAATTTTATTAGTAAACCCTCGCTTATGGTGGAGGAATGCCGTGGTTACATCAACAACTTAAATAAAATTAATAAAAAAAAGAGAAGAAAAAGAAATAAAACAAATACTTGCAACTAAGACCTTGGATCCACATACATAAATGGCACAACTATGACACACCAACATAATTCCTAAAAACAAAAGTTAAACATTTTGCATATAACAATAAAAGTAAAAGATCAAAGAAGATAAAATAAAATAGTAAACTTTTTAAATTAAATACTCCAATATAAAATACTAAAAGTGGTTTCTAGCAACAATTTTGTTTAGTTGAAATTGGCTACATAAGATTGACCATTTATAATCTGCCTCAAATAATTGTTGCCGAGCTTTTCTCTGATGTTCCATCATTTCATTCTTTTCCTTGGTTACATTATCAAACTCATTCTCGAGCTCTATTATTTCTGCAACACAATTCTTCTTTTTGTCTTGAAGAGATGATATCTTAACCTCACAATCTTGTTTCTCCTTCTCTAGTACTGTCATTTTCTCCTTCAGCTTAGTGAACTCCTTCTCTTGAGTTTCATTCTTGGGAAACTTGTTGATGGTAGCAAAGGCTGACTTGAAAGAACATAAAATGCTTGGAAAGTCTTGGAGCAAAGATTGAATAGTAGCTTTAAGTTCATGAGATAAAGTTCCATCTTCAAAGGAAAGGCGAGACAAGAAATTGAGAGCAATAAGAAGGTGAAGGCTGTTGGATTCTGAAGTTGCTATATCCTTAAGAGGAATTTTTAGACAAACTTTCAAGTCTGCAAAGGCCTTTACCACAACTTCAACATCTACCTCTGTTTGGTTGACCTTGATTGGCTTCTAAATAAATAAGTATCGAAGTAATTTAAAGAAGCATCAGTTTTAAGCAGTAGCAACATATGCTAAGTATTAAATAAGTCTACTTGTTTTGATAGGAAAGTAAGCAATATATAGAAGTTAAGTTTCTATTTTGATTAATGAATGAGTCGTCAAAGTCTTCAGCTCCACTTCAAAAAGGTTAATGTCAACAAAGTACTAGCATTAGCTTGCATGTGAAAATGCTTGAGTAAGAGAACTAACCAATGAACTTTGGACTAAGCTTATCTGTTCAGAATTAGTTGATGAAGAACCTTCCTTAGCATTTTCAGGTGTAGGACTGTCAAATCTCCCTTTAACATTCTACACAATAACAAAAGGCATGTGAGTTTTAGTCACTTTGCAGCTATATAAGTTAATATAGGTGCTACTACGTTTTTGTTTGATATATTCTCTTTAGCTCTCTGATCTTTAAGCTCTTCTATATTCTGTATAGAAAAGAAAATGAAAATAAGTTGCTTTCTATGATATTTAATATGTAGCAAGGCCATAAGCTTAAAGCATTATTTTGATTCTCTTATTAATTTCATTATCCATCATTTCAATTTCTATAAGTGATTCTTCTCAATTTATCAAAATTGATTCACTTACTGATATTTCATTCACCAACCATTTATACACATACTAATGAATATATATTCTAAATAAGAAGTGTTAGCACGAAGAAGAAAGAAATTGCTAAATGCTTCTACATATAAACACAAAAAACAAACACAAGAGGTTATCAAAGTTACAATTTCATGAGTAGTTGTCTTAGGTAGAGAAGCCACTAAATACTTACGTGGCAATTATGCATTAATCAATTCAAAATATGTTAGTAAAGATGGATTCTTTTTTTTTTTGGTTCTTTTTTGTCCACCACTAGGCATTGTTTCTTAAGATACTAAGCAACACCAAATCCAACAAGATTAGTTCATATTATGTCATGCATAATAGAAGACCAAGACATAGATTGAAGATACACACCATTGTGAGGTTTGATGATGCAATGGTCAATATAGATTGATTAGTTCTAACCTGTGAAGAATGATGCACACTCTTTGATTTAGCCATAACTTCAATGTCTTTTTTATGATCTTTTTCAGTGGCTTCTTTGCTGTAATCTCTACCAGTTTCACTATTATCTTCAAATCCAAACTGTATTGCTTGATGAGCACAAAAATAACTGTTCTGTTGAAATCGACTACATGGTACTAACCACTTATAATCAGCCTCAATCATTTGTTGTAGAGCTTTTTTTCATCCTCCACCATTTCAGACTGTTCCTTCCTCACAGTCTCAGAAAGTTTCTTGAACTCTTGGATTTCTTCAACACTTTTCTTCAATTGCTCTTGAAGAGATGGTATCATAGCCTTACAATCTTCTATCTCTTTCTCTAACTTAGAGATCTGTTCCTTCATCCCCACTTCCTTTTCTCGAGCTTCATTCATGAACATGGGAAATCTATTGACAAAAGCAAAGGCTGGCTTGAAAGAAAGAAGAATGCTTGGAACATCCTGGAGAAAAGATTGTATTATAGATTTAAGTCTATGGCATAAAGATCCATCATCATAGGAAAGGTGAGATAGGAAGTTGAGAGCAGTAAGAAGGCTAAGGCTATTGGGCTCAGAAGTTGCTATGTCCTTGAGAGGCATCTTCAAACATATCTCCAAGTTTTCAAGGGCCTTTGCCACAACCTCATTTCTAGTGGTAGCAGTCTTAGGTACTGATGGTATTGATGATTGACCAGCACTATCTTCAAAGTCTACATGTGGAATAGGAAGAGAAGTAACTGATGAGGCTAAGAATGAACTTGCTGGTACTAATCGAGTTAATAAGGTTATTATATTAGCATCCTCTGATATAGAACCTTCAAACCTTCCTTTAACACCCTGCATAGCAGCAATTTTATGCAAATTTTAGTCATCCAATTTTTGAATCAAATGATAAAAGTGCTTTTTATATTTTCCTTTGATGTATTTCTCTCTTGGGCTCTTTAATTTGTGTCTATGTAACACTGTATAGTAGAGAGAGATTAGAATATGTGTTGATCTGTAACATTATATATATGAATCATATGAGCGCCATAAAACATCATTAGTTGTTAATAATATTAGTTTCTCCACAAAATGTATGGCAATTGATTTGTTGAAGTTAGCAACGTTGCGAGGTTTAAGGAGTAGAAACATAAATTGAGCAATACTTGTGGAAGTGCTTTAGGTAGAGAAGAAACTAAGGAGCCTTGGAGTGAGCTTGATGGGTCCAACTGCATTGTTGGTGTAGTTATTGTAGCTTTTTCTAATATAGAACTTCCCTTAACACCCTGAAACAACAACAAAAAGATATTTTAACTTTATTAAGTCATACATGTAATAGTGATTAAACCTATTGGTAAAGTGCTATTACCTTTTGCTTTGGTATGTCTATCTCATGATCATCACTTTGATCTTTGGACTCTTTAACATTCTATATGACAGACAAAATTAAATAAACTATCTATGGCATCATGTGGAAATGCCTTAGGTAGAGAATTATATATTGAACCTAAGTGAGCTTGCTGGTTCTAAATAAGTTGACAGGGTAATTATACCTTTGTATTTTTTTTATAGTTTCATGAGAAATAAACAAGTAACAATTTAGAAAATGCTTACTAGTAAATTTTGCACTTTTTAATGAAACTGGCAATGTTGCAAAGGTAAATATGCTAAAGTCTAAAATCATGGTTTGAGCAATACCTCGCAAAGTGGTTTAGGTAGAGAAGAAACTAAAGAGCCCTGGAGTGAGATTATTGGGTCTAGATAAGATTCATGTGCAATTATTGCAGCATTTTTAGGTGTAGAACTTTCATCAACAATACTTTCTTTTCTCTGTACAATGACAAAAGATATGAAAGTTTTTAGACATATACATGAAGTAACTAAACTTATTGGCAGAGCTGCTATTACCTTTTTCTCTGCTATGTTAGTGTCATCATCAAAACTCTGTTTTTCATATTCTTCAACACTCTGTAGGAAAAAGAAAATTAATTAAGCGTTATTTAATTCATAGCATTGCATGTTAAGCTTTATTTGAGTATAAAGTAACTAAACCATTGGTAGAGTTACTGTTTCCTTTTGTTCTGCCAAGTGTAAGTCATCATCAGAACTTTGTTTTTCAAACTCTTCAATGCACTGAAGGAAAGATAAAATTAATAAGGTGTTGTTTATAACTTCAAGTGCTAAGCTTTACTACTTGAGTGAAAAGCAATTGAAGCAAAGTTGCTATTACCTTTTGCTCTGATATGTTTGCATCACCACCAGCACTACATTGTTCTTTGGGCTCTTCAACACCCTATAAGAAATAGAAAATTAATAAGGTGTTATTTTTATATAGCATCACGTGATTAAGCTTCACTTGAGTTCCCTAAAGAGTTACATCAGCTATAAATTCTCTATATACATAGATATACCTGTGTCAAATTTGGTGAAGCAATAGGGGTCAATTCTTGCTCATTGTCCTCAACATCCATTCTCATTGTTCTCAACAATGCACCCCACTGCCAATCAAAACCTTCATAATCTATGTGATTTACAAAGACATATTATATGAATTAGCAATCGTATCAACAAAAATTCCTCCCAAACACATACACATTATTATTATATAGTTCAAGTATTGGAATAATAAAAAAATACAACTTAACACATGTTTCTCAAATAAAAATTTTACGGGCTAAGATTGAATTTAAGTAATCACATAGTTCAACTATTTTCATGTGGCTATCATCAAAACAAATTTATTTTTATTGATAAGCTATGTTTGATGTGCTTTAATAATGAAAATATATTCTCACAAGCTATGATAATTAATTAGTAGTTACTAGTAATTACAAAACTTGAATTATATGCTCTAACAATTGACACTTCAATTTTAGAAATTAGGACAAAAAGCCATACACAAAAACATATTTAGGTAAACTGGATGTATTACGTCATTTGTAGCCCGTCTAATTAAAATGCTCTAAGTAATTTAAATAGAATCTTCTTTGACTTTTCTTAATTGATTTTATTTTTATAATAAAATGCAAATTTTATTTCTTATATTTTCTCTTTCTATTATTATTAATATCAAAATTAATTTATATTTAATACAAATGTCTTATTTTTATTATACAAATCATAAATAATGTAGTGCATCTATTCTACTTAAGAATTTCTCCCATACACAACAAAGTGATGATATAAGAACTTTTTAAATGTGGTCATGTTATAACTAGCAAACGTGATATGCTATTTACATATGCTTTTTTTTGGAAATGTTTTTACCGTGTACGTCTTTAATGCGCAATAGATTTTATTCTAAATAATTTTTCTTCTAAAAATTTCAGAACTTGAACTAAAAAAATTACCATGTCCACAATAAAAGATACAGATATATAGATCCCAACTTGTTGATAGCAAAAATATTCTTAAAAAAATCATGATAATTGTGCATATAAAAATAATAAATGATATGCGTTGCTTAATGCACAATGATTCAAAAAACAAAAGCATTTCTTGTATTCAAGGGACGCTATGGGAGAGGATCTAGATCCATAAAAACTAAGCTAACTATCATATAAAGGGAAAAAAGAAAACCACTAAACTAATAACCCTATATTTCTTTAATAGAGGTGTTGGAATACTCCTCATTTATTTCTATCGTAAATCGCCAAATCCTTCATCTCATACTATTATTTTTTAAATAAAATGACCAATATATATTTTTGAAATTAGAGAAATACATATATAAATTTAAAATATAATTAAATATGTATTTCACACACACAAACAGATAATTGAAACATGGAAGTAAGATAAAAAATTGATATTGACGACAGAATGGAAGCAATAATCATAATGATAAGGAAAATATATATATATATATATATATAAAATCATCACACAAGCACAAATAATATTGAGTACCTGGATCATTTTCTAATAATTGCAGCAAGTCCAGAGGAGCTATAGTGGGACTGAGAGCAGCAGAGAGTTGTGGACACTGATCTACAACAAGGTATCTCACACTTTGGAGATTATGAATGTTGAGGCTGTGTGCAGTGAGTTTTGGCAGTTGAAGAAGTATTGCAACCTTCATATTAGGAATGAGAGTTTCTTTTATAGGCATTGCCTCTGCTTCTTCATCCCCCAATACTCTCTCTAGCTCTGATGCTTTTGGTATCAACATTCCCCTTAGTTTGGGAAGCATCTCACATGCTGGCACAGGGAATACACATTTCAATTATGACAATCTTCAATGCAGATTCTGATGAGACTTGGGAAGATAGCAGGTTGTCGAGGGTTCACAACATTTTGATTTTTTTTATGATTGCCTCTAATTCCCTGCTTTCATATGGTAATATCTTCCAAATGTGGAAGCACATGGCATGTAGAGACAAGGAATACACATTTCAACTTCTCACAATAAGAAATTGTGATTGTAGTGAGATTTGGGAAGACAGCAGGTTAGTGAGGGTTCAGCACACTTTGAGTTTCTTCTTCTTCACCTCTAATTATTTCTTCCAATTCCTTACATCCCCAAATAGAAAGATTTCTTAACTGTGGTAGGCTTCTCGAGATGGATGCAGGGAATATAACTCTTAAATTGTGACAATTAGTAATATTGAACTTAGTAAGATGTTAAAGGAGTAAGGAGTTTTTAGAAACCCTCCATATATCCCTTAACTTTGGTAGAGCTTCCAATTGAAGCCATTGTAAGCTAGAGTTTACTTGTTGTGCATTGTTAGGAATCTCATCCGTATCAAAAATAACTTCTACTTCAGTATCATGCACATAAAGTAATTGTAATGTTTGTAGTGAGGACACAGCTAACTTCAATAGTTCCTATAAATACAAAAGAATATGAACCCATAAGCTGTATAATGCCATGTTGTCCTCTCTGCCACGTGTACTTTAGCAATCACCCTCTTCTTCATTTCTAATTGTAGGTACTTTAAAATCTAATCAACATCTATAAACTAAATGCATTTCATTTAGGAGTTCAAATGGAAATTTTAATTAGACATTAATATGTTCTCCTTTATTACATGCACTATTGATGTTCTAATAGATTAAACATAAAGGACACAAATTTTTGTTCATTAAACTGTAGGAAATGTTAAACTATATTCATAAACTAATAGATGTTGTACCATTTTTGAATATTTGAAATAATCACGCATAATTAAAAAATAATACCATAAAATAAAATGAACAATATTATATTAGAAGACATCATACCTCTGATGCTATCTGATCATGCATTTGACTCAATCTGTATCTAGCAATCCAATGATTCATGGACATGAAATTTAATTGATGGCAGTCCTCTAACCATATATCTTTCAAAGATGGGCATGCTAGATGATAATTTTTTGGACAAATGCTAATGATACTTGACGAGGCTCGTAGAGTCAGGTTTCTCAAAGATGAAAGCTGGATGATTTGAAATTCGTTTGGGTTTGGATCTTCATAAATGGATGGGCCAAACACACTTTGTAGTTTGGGAGCATTACTTATTTGTAAATCTTCCAATTTTGCAAGGCTTTGAGCAAAAGAGACAGGCATTAAGTATTCTAGTTGAAGGCACCCATCTATGCTTAGTCTTTTCAAATTTGGGAATATAGATCTATAGCTCTTTTGATGTTTGCTATCATATGCAACTATCTCCTCCCCTTTTTCTGCTATTGTATGCCCAAGTGAATCATAATTTTCTATTTTTAGTACCTCTAATTTTACAAAAAGGCTTAAAGGAAGCTGACCATGACACAAGGACTTCAAATGCTTCATCCCTTTTATAGTTAGATGAGTCAATTTGGAGATAATTCCAACTTCACCCAAATGACTTGTAGGGTTTATCATGTACTCCATCTCCTCCGAGAAAAGGAATGAAAGTTCAACCAAAGCATCCATATCCCCTCCCATTATTTGAAATACATCAGGGAATATATATTTACAACTTGTGATTCTCCCTATGGAAAGAACCTCTGCTCTTTGCATCATATCCTTAATTGTTTCATTTGATATGCAAGTTTCAAAATCATCAACATGTAAAATTCTTATAATGGGAAACTCTTGTTGATTGAAAGTATTTCTTCCAAAATCTATACAATAGCTATCTAATTTTGGTGTAAATTTATTGATGAAATCACTAATATTCTTACCTTGGTCCAGCCAAACCCCTTTATTTTCACAAAAATACAATACTTCCAATTGGGAGCACGTTCCACTCACTTCATAAGGATTTTTTTGAATTTTACATCTCCAAATATCTAATAATCTCATGTTCTCCTATTCTATAATGCATTTGGGAAATTCATTGAAAGAACAATTCCATAATGTAAGAGACTCAAGTCTATTGAGGCTTTCAATGAAAGAGATGTCTTCTAACAACCAATTATCTAAGAATAGGCAAATAAGATTATTTATCAAATGGACTGACTCTGAGAATTGTAGGATTTTTTTTTTTTTTTCCATGAGAGTAGTTTACATTCAAGAATCAAAACTCGAAGCTTCTCCATACATTTGAGAAAAGAATTTGTTAAATCAATATCATAGTTTTCTTTTATGCAAATACAAAGAAGCTCAAGTTTAGGGCAATCCAACTTATGAGAAAATGACACCATATCATCAAACCATAAATATCTTACAATATCATCCTTCAAAATCATATCTTGCTTCAATGCTTTTTGCCTTTTGTTTTTCCTAATAATCAATTTAACCTCCTTCTTTAAAATCCATAGGGCTACATCACGAACCAAATCATGCATTTTGACGTGACTATTTCTATCATCAACTTGTAGCAACAAACAAGAATCTATGAGCCTATTTTTGCCCATAATGGTTACTTTGTTTCTTGCCCTTTGATAAGAGTCAACTTCTTCCAATACAAGACCAAGCCCTACTCCAAATATGGTTAATTTCTCTATTGGAATTTCATAATCTTCAGGAAATACAGAGCACAACAAGAAGACTGACTTGGCTACTTCATCTTTTAGATTTTCATAACTTAACCAAAGACATGAGTAAGGATTTCTTAATCCCTCTTCAATATCAAGAAGACTTGAATCTTTTAGTGTTCTCAATGCTTCCTCCCACTCATAGTAAGGTTTTCCTTTCAAAGTACTGGCTACAGCAGCAATAGCAATAGGTAAACCACCACATTCTTTAGTAATTTCTTGTGCTAATCACTTCAAGGGACTATTAGTGTCATCACCAAATGTCCTTGAATACTTTTTAAAGAGCTCCCATGCTTCAACTTCATCTAATTCCTTCAAGGGAATTGTTCTTTTGCAATTTATCAACTCACATACTCGAACTTTTTGTGTAGTTATAAGCACAATGCAATAACTTTCTTTATTTTCTACAAGAGGAATCCCTATGTCCTCAAAATCAAGCTTCTCCCATACATCATCCAAAATAATCAGGAACCTTTCGCCACTCCCCAATCTCATGGATAATCGTCTGGCCCTCTCTGGTTCTTCTTGCTCTTCGAATTCAAAATTGCCAAGTTGGCTTGCTATATTTTCTTGAATTTTTTTTACTTCAATGGTATTAGACACAACAACAAAGATAACTTTTTTGAAAAACTGTTCTGCTTCTTTACCTACTTCTTTCACCAAGGTAGTTTTCCCACATCCACTCATGCCATACAATCCAATCATACTAACCTGATCATCCTTCAATGCTTTTATAAGTTCATCATAAGCCACCTGCCTACTCTCAAAGCGTATGAAACCTTCAGATGAAAAGTAGTTCATGCCCACAAGTATGGCAAGTCGAGAAAACTCTAGGAATTCAATTTTGTAATGCTCTATAATTTCATTGATCTTTTCTTCAAGCTGCTTTACTATACAATAGCGCCTAATCAAGTTAGGGCAGTGCTTAAAACAAGATGTATTATTTTTGTTAACTATTTTTTCTTGTAGCTCCACCACTTTTGCCATTAGACAGTCAGCTTCGTACAACCATGTCTCAACATCACTAACAACCTTCTCTACTTTCTCCTTTGCAAGTTTAGCACGATCAAGAACACCTTCTATTTTCAATTGCAAATTTTGTTTTTTTTCTCTAAGCTCTTCAACATACTTGTTGAAGCGAAAAGAATAAGAAGTTTCATGTATTGCTACATCCTTTGACTTGATCAAAATATCAGTTACAATAGAGACAACAATGTCTATTTCTCTCTGAAAGTTGAATGAAGCCCATAGTGCATGAGATAATCATAATTTTAAAATTCTATGAGAATCAAAGTTTGGTATTGACTTAATCAAACATGTTGAATTTTATAGAGAAAATTTTGTCACTAGTCATGACATGTGTTTTCAATTAAAAAAAAAAAGTCAAACTCCTCTCTTGATTATAAGAGAAATAATTATCTTTACTGAGTAGCGATATAACTTTCTTGTACAATAGAAAACTTTTTGCTTTCTGAACTCACATTGAGAACAATATTTCTTAATTTAAAAGCGTAAGTGTTTTAAAAGGCATCAATAATTCATCCATACAATTTGGAAAAAGAATTTTAATTATTAAGATCTCTAGCTAACAGTCAGGAATTATTGAGTCTTCAAATTTTTTAAAGAATTACATAAAGACTTACAATTTAATTTATATCGAAAGAGAAAATGTAAAAAAGGCACAAAAACTTTAATAATATATTTCGAAACATCAAAATCAAACATATAATAATAATTGTTGATATAATGAAGATAGTATTCTCCAATCGTGTTGCAATACTTGCATGAGTATTAGGTAAAAGAAGATATACACAACAAATTTCAAAATTTTAATATATAGATACAAAGATATAGATATATAATCAGGTATATGAAATTAGCAGATCAATTGATTAAACAAATAGAAACTAACTTTTGTACATGGAGAAAGAAATTAAAACTAATGACATACGTTATAAAATTAGAGAACTCTATTATGAAATATGATGCGCACAAAATATCATATGGTACATTATGAAAAATAAAATATATATATATATATATATATTGTAAAGTGTCAATGCAACATAGGCATTCTAACATTCACTATGAAAAATAATAGGGAACATGACAACAAAATCTATTTGAAATGTATAAATGATAGTTTAATATCTTAAAATGTCATAATTTTCTTAAAGTCCCTAGTGACTTTTTTGTTAGTAATAAATTTATATAAATTATTAAATTGTCCTTGTTAAAAATAAACGATTCATAAGTTTTGTTTAAATATTTACAACTTTTCTTCTTATATTCGCAACAATGCAATAACAAATAATGAATTAACATATGAAATTGCTATTGTATTATTGCGAATATAAGAAGAAAAGTTATAAATCATTTATTTTTAATAATGACAATTTGATAATTTATATAAATTTATTAATGAAAGAAAGGTCCCTAGGAACTTCAGGAGAATTATTGCATTTCGAAAGACTAAATTATCATTTATACATTTCAGAGAGATTTTATTGTCATTTTTCCAAAGTAATATGCTTATTGAACTCTATATTTAACCAGTAGAATGATATTCAAAATGATACACTTTCCATGTTTACCCTATGGTTAAATTATGGTATTCCATATTTAACCTATATTTAAAATAATATCATCTTTTTATATTTACCCTTGTTTAATATGGTGTTTCATTTTAAAAAAAATGAAATGATTTATTTATTAAGGAAATTTTAGAAAAAAAAATATATTAATTACAAAAACATATACTAAAATTGTGTTACATTTTTTAATATTCAACCCTTTTGAGGGAGGGAGTAATATTCTTTATTGAAGGAAATGAGTTTTAAATATATATATATATATATATAGATAATTGCAAATATGAAAACTTTATCATGAAATAACAAGAAGATAGTTTAAATGTCTTATATTCATATAAATTTTACTTGCAAATCACTAGAAGAGACATATTTATAACTCCTCTTTCAACAATTTTTTATAATCAAATTGTTATTAAATATAATTAATCTTTTGAGTTTTGAGACTTAAGTGCATTCTTACATCATTAAAAAAATCCTATAAAACAATATTTAGTCAATTAACCTATCTATATAAAGAGCCTCCTTAGATATTATAACCTTAAGCCAAAATTACCAATTATAGGGTGGAAAAAATGAAAAATATGAAGATATGAAGATATCAATCAAAATAAGAATTCATCAAAACTAAGTATTATTGATCGTTAGATGAATTATGAAAAAACAATAACAATATATATATATATAAGCGTAATGTTGACCCTCTGCCATCCTCTATATATATATATATATATATATATATTAAATCCTTTAAGTTTAAAATATGCCAAATGTCAGGTTAAAAAGTTCTTTTGATAGATGGTTCAAAATTATATATGTAATTGTATGAGAATGACTGTGAACACACAAAAAAAAAAAAAAAAGAATGACTGAAACACTATTGAAACAAGAAACATGGATAAAACACACACATACGCACATATCCAACAAAAGTTGATTAAAAGAAAAAAGCATGTATACTAAATAGAAGTAATTATAGGTTGAAGTATGGGACTGGGACTAGCTAAAAGATTAAAAGCTAACCTGGCTTGAGCTTCCTTTTGATCCAAAGCAAGCTATCTACTATCAAGCAACGATAAACAAAGAAGGCCAATTTAGTAATTTCTCAAAATTTAAAAAAATTAAAATTCTTGATTTCATTAGTTTAATACTATATATTAGTTTTTTTTTTTTGTAAAGACTTACTTTTTTTGTAAATACTATATATTAATTTTCAAACAAATAGTTGTACTCGTAATTATCTACACTAAATCTTCGATAAACTTGCTTACATTTCAAAATAAGTATTATGTTTTGTGGATTATGCTTCTACATATAGATTTAGAAATATATAATAATTAATAAGGATAAAGAAACTTCAAATTCTTCAAATTTACTTCAATTGGTCTTTAAAATTTTATTTTTATCAATCAATTTCCTAAACTTTTATAATCATACACAAGTAGTCCTTATAGTTTGAAAAGGATAATACCATAAAAAGCGTATGTGTATGATTATGAAATTTTACGGACTTAATTAATAAATATTAAAAGGCACTAATGTTAAACTTTAGTAACAATTCAAAAGGCACTAATGTTATAGAAAAAATTAATCATTTGATCGTTATACTTTTGACTCAATTATAACTCAGTCCCTCAACTTTAAATTATTATAACTTAATCCCTGAAATTTTAACTTAGTTATAAATTAGTTTTTAAACTTTGTCTCTTGCAATTTAGTCATTAAAGTTCAACCTCTTAAATATTAGTATCTATATTTTAAAAAATAAAATTATAAAGATTAAAATATTTTAAACTTATAATATTTTTTAATATTTATAAAGATTAAAAGAGTTTAATAATTTAAAATATTACTAATAAATTTTAAAATATTTTGAATATTTACAATTTTATTTTTTAAAATATAGAAACTAATATTTAAGATGTTAAAACTTCAAAGACTAAATTACAAGAAGCCAAATGCAGGAACTGATTTATAATTAATTCAAAACTTTGGAGAATGAGTTATAATAAGTCAAAATTTAAGAATTGAGTTATAATTAAATTAAAACTACAATGACTAAATAATTAATTTTTTGAATACAATTGAAAATGCAATTCATGGCTCTCCTTGTAAGTATAAAGCCACTTGAAAATGCAATTCTTTCCTTTTTGGTCTCCATTATCTATCATTTCTTGATCATAAAAAGTAGTGTGGATATTCAACGAAGGCCACGTAATTCATGGCTCTCCTTGTAAGTATAAAGCTAGTAATTTGAGATGGCCTGACTTATTTGAGTCGGGTTTAAAATACCTAAATTATTAAATATTATATTATTTTATTTTTTTGAGCCAATGTTAATTTTTATCTAAATTAATTTTTTTTCAAGCAACACAACAATACAAGACACCTTGTTTCCTGTCCTTATTAAAGTGGGACCAAATATTAAAAAGGTAAAAATGAAAGCATAAGAATTACCCTTTGGGTTATTTTTTGAAATATTTTCAAAACATATTCAAAACAAACAATTACTAGAACGTTAAAATTTCATTTGGGGGTGTAAAATGTACGAACTGAAAGTTTTGAAAAGGGCTCATGAAGGCTATGTAAAAGTTGAAATGAAGGTTAGTTTTATGTTATTAATAATAAAAAAAATTCTGGTATTCACACTGAGGTTCAAGCTTGTTTTGAATTTTTTCGAACTTATTTGAGCAACTTGAATAAGTCCGAAGTAAAAAAAAAATTAAACTCTCAAATCTTCTCTAAAATTTTTCAAACTTATTTAAAATGACTCATTTGGTTTGATCCAAATTACTGCCTCTACTTATAAAAAGTGTAGCTATTGTTGATAATATTGATAAAAGTAAAAGATATTAATAATTAATTTTTTAAGATTAAGAAAATGTTATAAGTGTGAAATGTAGTTAAATTAACATGTATAATTTAAATTTGTATTCTTTAGAGAGATAAATAATCAGATGGGATATAAAAGCTTTGAGTGTAACTTACGTAAGGGTATTTCGTTATATGATTTGAGGGTTGTGTCATTGTGTGCATAATCAAATAATTAAGGCTTACAAATAAGAAAAATTTTCATACATGACCCCAAAACACAATTAAATACTATAATATTTATTGACAACTTAGCAGTGTAAAAATTAAAAATAAAATAATGATCTTGTGGTTTTTAATTGTGGAAAAGCCTAGGAGATCTCAAAATAATTCTACCTAAAATAAATTATTAAAGAAAATAAAAAAATGCACCTAATTAACTAACATAAATATTACTTCATCCATCTTAAATTATAAAATACAGTTAAAAAAATTATAAATATCAATAAAACTCATTAAATATAATTTACAACTTTATTTTTTTCAAATGAAATGAATAAACTTCTAAAGAAGCCCTTCATTTAATATTTCATTTATGAAAGAATACTAAAGAGAGAGAATATAATGGGAAGGATAATATTCAAAAAAAAAATATCACTTATAAAACCTTATTTTTGTCAAAATATCTTTTTTTGAGAAATAAAATATTTCTAAAAAGTGTCTTATAATTTGAGATGAAGGGAGTACCATGTATATTAATACTAGAAAAAAGCAAAAGAATATCCCAATAAAATTGGGAATAAAAAAATTACTGATTATATATAATGTGAGAAAAATTAAAGAATAAAAAAAAACATGAAAGATTTTGCTATACTTGCCTTGAGTCTGAGAGGAAAATAGGTATCCTGCTAAAGGGTTGTTTGTGTCTCATTCTTTTATTTTTAAAAAATATTTTGCAATATAGTTTTTAAAATTATTTTCAAAAAAAAATAAAATAAAATGTCTTTGATTGTGTTAATTTAAAAAAAAATATTAAAAATAAAAACTGGCCAATAATGATCGTTATCAAAAACAGGTTAAGGTGGCAATTTATGATAGTGATTGGACAATATGATTGTAACTTTTAATAGTCAAATGTATAATGTATTTTAAAAATAAGAAAAATGAAAAGAAAATAGTTTTAAAATGTTTTTATTATTTTTTTAAAAAAGCTGAAAATAGTTTTGGAAACAATTAAAATCAAAATACTTATACAAATAAATTTTTTACTTTTTACTTTTTTAAAAAGACTTTGAAAAAACAGAAAATTAAACATACTCAGAAAGCCCAAACTAATATAGTAATTGGAAACAACTAGTTGGGTGCATCAAATAAGGAAAAAATAGCACTTTAGGACTAATGATTATCATGATTATTTTTTTTTAAGAAAATTAAC